ATTCTGGTCCTCTGAAGTAATCAGGGATGATTATTGTTCCTCTGAAGTAGTCTTACTTAGTAGTCCAACTTCTATAACCCTCTCTCTATACTGCCCGGCCTGGAATAACTCCTTATTATGGGAGTAACGCATGGGCAGGTTGGGTCAAAGACATGCAAGTATGCAAGTATGCACGTATGTACGTATGCACATATGCACGTATGCACACAAACACTTAAACTGCTTGATTGCGTCATAACGTAGTTGGATGGTGCGGGGCTTTGTTCAAATATCAATCACCGGTTTGCTTTGTCCAGACCTGATCATATACAAACCGCCGTCATATAACTAGACTATTGCTGATTGCGTCTTTCAACAACAAATAAACAACTATGTTTGTCAGTGGTTAAACAACGAAGAAAATATAAACAGTTGAGCTAAATCTGTGATCACATCGATCTCATTCAATCAAAGCTGATATTATTTTTATTGAAAATCCACATTCCCGTATACGATCACTACACCGTTCAAATAATTTGGCAAAATCTGTTCTAATTTCTTGTAGCCGTTCCATGCTCAGTCGACCAGCTACCAAATCATATTTGAAGATTTAATAGACTTACAAATCAGGTCTAAATCGAACCCTATTTGCTTCACATACAAAGCAAACACAACAATTTAATTCATAAATGAGTTATTCTATTTTTGCCAGACGGCCATAAAACTCTATAATAGATGAAAATATTCCAAATGTAGCCGAAGAACCATCGGCAACCATGTTCAGAGACTATTCCGGGTCCAGGTTCGGCGATATTGGCCGCCTACAGCGGTGTTTACTTGCCGATTAAGATAGCGCGAATAATTGAGTGACTGCAATTTGTAGTGGCAACCAATGTTCTCGCAAAATTAAAATAGTAAGATCGTTTAGGCTTCTTTAATGAGTTTTAGATCATATTAGAAAACAAATTTCTCAATGTCATTCATTACTCCAACTGTGAAATGGTATCACGCAATTCTTGTCTCCGATTGTGAGTTCACGCCTACGGTCGTGTTTGACAAATTGCCCCACGTGCTATTTAGTTCTATATGCGTTTTAACAATCTCTTTGAGGACAACATGTCTCATTTTATACATGGCCTTCCATTAATTAAATTTGCGTTTCTTTTCGGAGAGAGTATGTGTCGAGGTGACTTTATTTCACTGTGTGTAGTAATGAAACTTCAAACCATTACAAAACAAATGGTTTGACATTCTCCTGGTAAAAGACTCAAACCAATCTCATTAGACTGAATTAGATTAAATTAGATCTTACTGCTCGCAGGCGTTGTATACGGAATTGAAGGCTCCCATTGCAAAGTCACGTCAGACCTTTCATGAACTTTGACCTACCAACGACATGATTAACAAAAACATTAGCCATTAGCCAATCAGAAAACAGCTTTCTTTAACCCTACCGTACATGTTTCTAACTGACAACTTCCAGGATTTGCTTTAAAAAATATCAATTTAAAATGTGAATATGAACAAAATAGAATTCTGGAATGTCTACAGGATGGTCGAATGGCACTAGTTCCTGTTTGTCCCATTATAGCGAAAAATGTCATTCGCAAGACAGCGTTAACAATTTCGAGGTTGCATGACTAGAAAACACAATCCGAATGTCATGACGTTCCGACTGATAGGATGAAAGGCCATGCTGTCTTTAACTGTAACGTGATGGTCTCTGATCTTTGTTTAGTGGTCGCGAGAACAAAGATCTCATTTGGACGAGTTTGAATGTTCAAGAAAGAAATATCTCACTCGTTTCTGTCATTTTAAATTTGAGATTTAAATGTCAAGTCACCCATCACACCCACGCGCAGGAAATCCTCCGTGTCAGCCCGTCAAGCAGAGGTTCGAATCGATTAGTTGATTGGAAACTACTGCAGCTCTGTGTAGGCTCAGGAGTGTTCGAGCCCAGGATACACAGATCCTGTCAGTACGTATGGTGTTATGGTGGAGGTTTTCCATCAATTCCATGGCGGTTGACACCAGCGATGGTTTAAACACGATAGTTTGAAAAACCCTCCCTCCAGTCTGCGATGTCGTAACGAGATGTCGAAATACGTTAGTAATGCCGTAACACGTGTGAGATGTCGTAATATGTTTGAGATGTCGGAGTACGTTTGTAATGTCGCAATACATTTGAGGTGTCGTAACACCTCGGAGATGTATTACTCTTGTATGTGATTTCAGATGTCGTAATACGTTTTATTACCCACGTGGTCAACGTATGGGTAGTTGCATACTAATCTCGTACGTCACACGAGTGTCGTATCGGGTTAACCTGTGTCGTAACGACTTGACCTGAGATTCTAACGATTTGATTGGATAACCGATGACCTCTCAATTAGGTCACGTTGTGACGGAACTACTTGTTCATTCATAACAAACACGTGAATTCATTCATTCTACAAATTATATGCAGTGTGGGAATGTAAACATTGCGAACGTTGCCGTATCACTGTATAATTGTGAGTCGAACTGAGACAATATATCCGTCGAAAAACATAAACGCAATGTTTCCACCTGTGATGTTAGCCGAGTGAAGCAACCGCAAACCAAGTAAATGGTGCTACGGAGTAGTTTACTGTAGGAAGCTGTACGAGGCGATGACAACTGACGTGCATCGTGACGTCGGTTACCAAGGGGACAGACGAGAATGGCTTAGTGACGTCAATACAGTGTGACGTCATGCAAAAGTGACTACAGAACAAAATTCTTCCGCAACCTCTTTATGAAACCGGTTTCGGTGTGAAACCATAACAATAACAAAAATACACTATTTTGTCAATTTAATGCATGTAAACCATAGAAACCATAGGAAGGTCACGAGTTTCGTATAATTCGTATGTAATGAGACCGAGTGTAGTATTCTCTATTTGTAATGTCGTAACACTTTTGAGATGCAACAGGAAGACAATACATTTTATTCATATACACAATATCTAGACTGTCTAACAGACCCTGGACAGTGTTGCTTTAGCGTTATTCTACAATGGATGTATTATTTCTAAGTATATTCCACAAAGCTTGACAGAAATTCTGCTTTGGTGATCGACTTTACATGCCTAGGATCTGAACCCCACGTCTAATCCTTGTTTCAGGCGGCGGTTGGGTAGCCAAGTGGTTAAAGCGTTCGCTCGTCACGCCGAAGATCAGGGTTCGATTCCCACATGGGTACAATGTGTGAAGCCCATTTCTGGTGTCCCCCGCAATGATATTGCAGGAATATTGCTAAATGCGACGTAAAACCATACTCACTCACTCACTCACTCCAAGCCAAGGCGCTCTTGGTCAACTTGAGCTGTAAGAAAATCAATCTTATTCCAGCAACCTTTGAAATAACCAGACACGTTTTGATAACCCGGGATGTCACCCTTTGCTTATATCTAAAGGCGACTCTTTGGGCTGCTTTAGGAAGAACCTTTGGTCGTTGTATGTCAAACAGATCACATACCTCAGTCAGTCCTCGTTATAACGCGGTAAGACTTTAGACCAAGGCAGCGAATTAAAATATCACGATCCAAGTAACAATCAACACCAATTATTTTAGTTTTGTGTTAACTTCTGACCTTTTCTAAGTTTAATCTCATTATAGATCTTAGTAGCAAATTAAACTTTATGGGGAAAAAGGCTGGTTGAGACCCAATGCACGTACTAGGGATTTCCTGGACGGACGAAAGGTCCTTGTCCATGATACCCGAGAAACAGTTTACTCGCGAGAAAAAAAAATGTTTTAATCTCTTCGCTGAAATTTAAAACCTAGAGATATCACTTTAAATTTGAAATGTGCCAATACACGAAAGACTGATGAGAATAGACGATAGGCAATTTCTCGGAGATGATTTTTTATTGACGGATGTTTTTATTGCTATAATTCTTCACAATACATTTTTCATCTTCAAACATTTTTTTCAAATTTCGACAGGCATCTGAAATGAAAGGAAATTGTTCTGTAAAAATCGGAAATCCACTGGTGTAATAACTTCGCAAATAAATGAAGCATCCTTTGCTCCATTACTTATAAGCATTTAAAACCCTTTCACGAATGTAATAACGAAAAACAATCAAAGGGGGGTAACTCTGATGTGTTACCTCGATATGACGGTTCTCTAATGCATTTCTATTTTGTTTCACGTTCGATTCCAAATATAAAAATATACGACATTTTTCACTTTCAGTAATATACGTGCTACAATACACACAGTAGCTAAACTCAGCATGGAATGTATTATTATTATTATAGGATATTTCTACAGCACACATATCCAGGCAACTAGTGCATGCTCAAGGCGCTGGTATATTTTCATTCGATCATTGGATGTAAATCTCAACAGCACGTCGTATTGTCAATCTCAACTCCCTGGGGAGTATACAACTCTTGCAGCCACTAGGCGCACCGAGTTATTGTGGCTTTCTCATCCTAATGAGGTACCCATTCACAGCTGGGTGGACTGGGACACATTGTCACAGTACTTTGTCCAAGTTCACTGTACGTTGCTGTACCTGCAACTAGGTGTTTGCACGTATTCTTGTGGCCACCATCTGGTCATATACCAACAGATTCGTGGGTTCTTTTAAGTGCACAGGGTTGTGTACTGTAAACTAGGGGTTGTGACAACACTGAAAGAGTCTGCACACAATGCTGACTCCAAGGTTTTTACACCCGGTCACAGGTGGGCTCGATCCTGACACCTCAACCTCGCTGGATCACTAGCCTGGCGCCTTAGCCAGCTCGCCCATTGCGCCCTTTTATACAATAAACAACATATGAACACATTCTTCAGGTATATAGTAAGTTTATTGATATAAAAATACATGTCAAAATGACTTTAACATATGCTTATAAACCATAGACCGTGAGATATATTTTACAAGTGGGGGAAAATTGCATATACAAATGTATACAATTTTTAGCCATCAAGTCATTTTTTAAAATGTCAAACAAATGACAGATGATGGGATATCTGATTTTTTTCAATTATACCCATAAAACAGTTGCTAAAACACAATTATATTGAATTATAAACATCGCCCTGTTTTATTCAATACTTGAGAAATCAAACCCGTAAATCTTCAAATAAAAATGCATTATAGTATTCTAAAACACAAGCAACAAATTGGATCATCACTGACGTAATTTCAAGGCAAGTTATAATAACACACACTCCCAAGATTCTACTTAACCTGTTTCAAATCAACCTAAAATACACAGCCTTTAAACAAATCCACGTTAAAATTATGTACATCCCTGAATAGACTCTAAACCCAGCACCACAGATCTGTAGCTCACCTAATCTATGTTTGAAATTATTTGCAGCAAGAAAAGCTGAATTTAAGATACTCTGCAAAAAATCTCCAAAAATCTCCAAAAATGTGTATTTTTTCACTATGAGATGAAAAAGGAAAACAATGGGGTTTTTTTATATTGAGAACATAGAAAAGAGGAATATGGACTTTTAATCTTTTTGAACTATAACCATCAAGTCAGCCATATCATCTTTCTGGACTGTTTACCACACGGAAACATTTGATTCCTTAAGTGCATGCATGGTTCCTGGAACTACATATCTGCATGGGGATTTGTTTGTAGATAACTACAAGATCCTATCCACTAGACAATGGGGGCTGCCTTACAATTGAAGGCTAAGATGTTCAAACAGGAATTTGTTGAGCACAAGTCAAGGAACTCTGCTTTATCACACTATGTGATATTCCACAAAGCACTTGGACTGTCGGTGGTATATGATAAAAGTATGGGAGTTAAGATTGCCTTAACTTTAATATCTCTTTGTGAACCAAGGTCACATTTCACAAAATTATCGTAGTGCTGCGACTGTTGTACCTCCTATACTGTAACATTGACTTATGACAGTCGTAGCGTTACGATAGCTTTGCGAAACGGGGCCCATGCTGCTGGCGATGATAATAGCAGGTCAGTTCAGTACTTACAAACTCATCCATGTGCTTGCAAAATCGTTTTCTAGATTCCATTGCCACTTTCTTTTTGCAAAGGAATCAAATAATTGTAGTTCTCCAAAATATCTATGTGTTTAACAAGTGAGTGAGTGAAGTTTAGTTTTAAGCCGCTTTTAGCAATATTCCAGCAATATCACGGCAGGGGACACCAAAAATGGGCTTCACACATTGTACCCATGTGGGGAAACGAACCCGGGTCTTCGGAGTGACGAGCCAACACTTTAACCACTAGGCTACCCAACCGCCCCAGTGTTTAACGAACCTACATACATGTTATAGAGAAATGCATGGACAATGACTTGAGCTGATGACAGGAGAACAGAAGGTCTAAAACTGGAACAGCAAATAGAATGGAATATCTCACACTGGACAATGAACGATGTGATTTTTGAATCAACCATCAAATATCTGTGAAGAGGAGCTAATCCACAACAAGGGACAAACAGTAAAAATCTCACTTGTACCATTGATGCAAGTGAGCCAATACACATAACATGTGACTTTAATAGTATTTCCCGGGAGGAGAGCCTCGATATGTGGTCTAAGTTCCTGGCAGTCCTAATGGCGGGATCTATCGTCAACTATCATAAGGAGGGAGACCAAAGTCCTCGGGTTTGAATTCTTCCAAGGAGGTCAGGATTTGGTTGGCAGTGTCCTTGAATGGAGTTTGGTCAGCTCGAGGGTCGGGCACCCAGATAACCTGCATCCCTGCACCATGGCCAGCGATCAGCCCGTTAGCAGCGTCTTCAAACACAAGGCACTGGAACAACAGTGAGTGAGTGAGTAGTTGTTTTTACTAGACCCATGCAACTACAATACCATGACATGCATTCAACTCAAGATGCCACATGCTTTGCAAAGCAATGAGATACAATGTCCTTCGCTCCGTGAGATATGGCTTGTTTTCACTCCACCGATATCTTTAATGGAAGAAAAAGACAGACAGAAACGGGATCAAGTATCTATGTTATTTTTACCTTCTCTGGCCCCGGACTATCTTTAAATCTTTTTGCAGCTATGATGAAACAGTCTGGTGCCGGTTTACCGTTCTTGACCTCAGGGTCATCACTGCTCAACACGATGTGGCTGAAGAGACTGAAAAACTGCTTGTGATTGGTTACTTTCAGCTCGTAGTTGTAGCCCGTAGATCCTGTTGCCACGGCAATGGGAATGTTGTGTTTGTGAAGATGTCTCACTAGTCTCTCAGCCCCTGACAACAATGTATGTACAAATCTTCTCAAACAAACATAGATCATCAGTCGTTCACACAAAGATAAGAAATACTAACTAAATATACCGGTGAAGCGACCATAACATTTCCCATTATATTTCAGCCTACCCTAAGCTACAGCATGAGCTACTGCCTAAGCTATTCCCCAAACCTCATTCCAAGCTACTCCCCAAGCTACAGCCTCAGCTACTACCTAAGCTACTGGCCAACCTACTGCCCAAGCTACTTCCAAAGCTACTCCCCAAACTACAGCCTGAGCTGCTGCCCAAACTACAGCCCAAGCTACTCCCAAAAACTACAGCCTCAGCTACTGCCTGAGCTACAGCCTCAACTACTGCCAAAGCTACTCCCCAAACTACAGCCTGAGCTACTGCCCAAACTACAGCCCAAGCTACTCCCCAAACTACAGCCTCAGCTACTCCCCAAACTACAGCCTGAGCTGCTGCCCAAACTACAGCCCAAGCTACTCCCAAAACTACTCCCCCAAACTACAGCCTCAGCTACTGCCTGAGCTACAGCCTCAGCTACTGCCAAAGCTACTCCCCAAACTACAGCCTCAGCTACTGCCCAAGCTACAGCCCAAGCTACAGCCCAAGCTACTCCCCAAATTACAGCCTGAGCTACAGCCCAAGCTACAGTCTGAGCTACTCCCTAAACTACAGCCTCAGCTACTGCCCAAGCTACTCCACAAACTACAGCCTGAGGTACTGCCCAAGCTACTCCACAAACTACAGCCTGAGCTACTGCCCAAACTACAGCCCAAGCTATTCCCCAAACTACAGCCTCAGCTACTCCCCAAACTACTCCCCAAATTACAGCCTGAGCTACAGCCTGAGCAAGCTACTCCCCAAGCTACAGCCTGAGCTACAGCCCAAGCTACTCCCCAAACTACAGCCTGAGCTACTGCCCAAGCTACTCCACAAACTACAGCCTGAGCTACTGCCCAAGCTACTCCACAAACTACAGCCTGAGCTACAGCCCAAACTACAGCCTGAGCTACAGCCCAAGCTACTCCACAAACTACAGCCTGAGCTACTGCCCAAGCTACTCCACAAACTACAGCCTGAGCTACAGCCCAAGCTACTCCACAAACTACAGTCTGAGCTACTGCCCAAGCTACTCCACAAACTACAGCCTGAGCTACAGCCCAAACTACAGCCTGAGCTACAGCCCAAGCTACTCCACAAACTACAGTCTGAGCTACTGCCCAAGCTACTCCACAAACTACAGCCTGAGCTACAGCCCAAACTACAGCCTGAGCTACAGCCTGAGCTACAGCCCAAGCTACACCACAAACTACAGTCTGAGCTACAGCCTGAGCTACAGCCCAAGCTACACCACAAACTACAGTCTGAGCTACAGCCCAAGCTACTCCACAAACTACAGTCTGAGCTACTGCCCAAACTACAGCCTAAGCTACTCCACAAACTACAGTCTGAGCTACAGCCTAAGCTACAGCCCAAACAACAGTCTGAGCTACTGCCTGAGCTACTCCCCAAACTACAGTCTGAGCTACAGCCCAAGCTACAGCCCTACAAACTACTAAAACTACAGCCTGAGCTACAGCCCAAGCTTTTCCCAAACAACAGCCTCAGATACTGCCCAAACTACTCCCTGAGCTACAGCCTGAACTACAGCCTGAGCTACAGCCCAAGCTACTCCCCAAACTACAGCCTGAGCTACAGCCCAAGCTACTCCTGACAAACTACAGCCTGAGGTACAGCCCAAACTACTGCCTGAAACTACAGCCTCAGCTACAGCCTGAAGCTTACTCCACAAAATACAGTATGAGCCTCAGCTACAGCCTGAGCTACTTGACAAACTATTGCCTCAGCTACTGCAAACTACAGCTTTCTCCCCCTGCAGCCTGAGCTACTGCCTGCTACCCCACAAACTACAGCCCAGCTACTGCCTGCTACTCCACCTGAGCTACAGCCACAGCTACAGCCCAAACTACAGCCTGAGGTACAGCCTGAGCTACTCCCCCAAACTACAGCCTGAGCTACTGCCCAAACTACAGCCTGAGCTTCTCCCAAACTACAGCCAGCTACTGCCCAAACTTCTCCTGCAAACTACAGCCTCAGCTACTGCCTGAGCACTTCCCAAACTATTGCCCAAGCTACTGCCTGAGCTTCTCCCCAAACTACAGCCTGAGCTACTGCCCAAACTACAGCCCAAACTACAGCCCTAACTACAGCCTGAGCTACTGCCCAAACTACAGCTACAAACTACAGCCAAACTACAGCCTGAACTACTCCTAAACTGCCCAAGCTTCTCCCCAAACTACAGCCACAGCTACTGCCCAAGCTACTCCCCAAACTACAGCCTCAGCTACAGCCCAAGCTACTCCACAAACTATTGCCTCAGCTACTGCCCAAGCTTCTCCACAAACTACAGCCTGAGCTACTGCCCAAGTCACTCCCCAAACTACAGCCTCAGCTACTGCCCAAGCTACTCCACAAACTATTGCCTCAGCTACTGCCCAAGCTACTCCCCAAACTACAGCCTGAGCTACTGCCCAAACTACAGCCTCAGCCTCAGCTAAACTACAGCCTGAGCTACTCCCAAAGCTACAGCCCAAACTACCCAAACTACAGCCTGAGCTACAGCCCAAGCTACAGTCTGAGCTACTTCACAAACTACAGCCTCAGCTACTGCCCAAACTACAGCCCAAGCTACTCCCCAAACTACAGCCTCAGAAGCTACTGCCCAAACTACAGCCTGAGCTACTGCCAAAGCTACAGCCTGAGCTACAAACTACAGCCTGAGCTACTGCCCAAACTACAGCCCAAGCTACAGCCTGAGCTACTCCCAAACTACAGCCTGAGCTACAGCCCAAGCTACAGCCTGAGCTACTCCCCAAACTACAGCCTGAGCTTCAGCCCTCCTTACTCTCTAAACTACAGCCTGAGCTACTCCCCAAACTACAGCCTGAGCTACTGCCCAAACTACAGCCTGAGCTTATTCCCCAAACTACAGCCTCCTTGAGCTACTCCCCAAACTACAGCCTGAGCAACTAAACTACAGCCTGAGCTACAGCCTGAGCTACTGCAAGCTACAGTCTGAGCTACTTCACAAACTACAGCCTCAGCTACTGCCTAAGCTACTCCCCAAGCTACAGCCCAAGCTACAGCTCAAGCTACTCCCCAAACTACTCCCCAAATTACAGCCTGAGCTACAGCCCAAGCTACAGTCTGAGCTACTCCACAAACTACAGCCTCAGCTACTGCCCAAGCTACTCCACAAACTACAGCCTCAGCTACTGCCCAATCTACAGCCTCAGCCTCAGCTACTGCCAAAGCTCCTCCCCAAACTACAGCCTAAGCTACAGTCTGAGCTACTCCACAAACTACAGCCTCACCTACTGCCCAAGCTACTCCACAAACTACAGCCTCAGCTACTGCCCAAACTACAGCCTGAGCTACTCCCAAACTACTGCCAAAGCTCTCCCCAAACTACAGCCTGAGCTACAGTCTGAGCTACTCCACAAACTACAGCCTCAGCTACTGCCTAAGCTACTCCCCAAACTACAGCCTCAGCTACTGCCCTAACTACAGCCTCAGTTACTGCCCTAACTACAGCCTCAGCTACTCCCCAAACTACAGCCTCAGCTGCTCCACAAACTACAGCCTCAGCTTCAGCCCAAGGTACAGTCCGAGCTACTCCACAAACTACAGCCTCAGCTACAGCCCAAACTACTCCCCAAACTACAGCCCAAGTTACAGCCTAAGCTACAGTCTGAGCTACTCCACAAACTACAGCCTCAGCTACAGCCCAAGCTACTCCACAAACTACAGTCTGAGCTACAGCCCAAGCTACTCCACAAACTACAGCCTCAGCTACAGCCCAAGCTACTCCCCAAACTACAGCCTCAGCTACTGCCTAAGCTACTCCACAAACTATTGCCTCAGCTACTGCCCAAGCTTCTCCCCAAACTACAGCCTGAGCTACAGCCCAAGCTACTCCACAAACTACAGCCTCAGCTACTGCCCAAGCTACTCCACAAACTACAGCCTCAGCTACAGCCCAAGCTACTCCACAAACTATTGCCTCAGCTACTGCCTAAGCTACTCCACAAACTACAGCCTGAGCTACTGCCCAATCTACAGCCTCAGCTCTCAGCATGTTGAAGCTACTCCCTGAAACTACAGCCCAAGTTACAGTCTGAGCTACTCCATTAAACTACAGCCTCAGCTACTGCTCTGCTTACTCTAATAAACCACAGCTCAGCTACTGCCCAATCACAGCTCAGCCTCTAGCTACTGCCCAGCTACTCCCAAACTACAGCCCACATAGTTTTTCAGTGATGCCCAGCACTCCTCAAATTACAGTCTCAGCCAGTGCAGCCACTCATATTCATGCTGTTCATGTTTGCTCCCACAACCTCAGCTACTGTCTGCTACAGCCCTCAGTCCCTCAGCTAGTAGTTTGAGTAGCTCAGGCCAGTAGCCTCAGAGAGCAGCTTCAAGCAGTAGCCTCAGGCTGTAGCCTGGGGAGCAGTTTGGGGCAGTAGCTGAGGCTGTAGTTTGGGGAGCAGCTTGGGGCAGCAGCTGAGGCAAGTAGTTTGGGCAGTAGCTGAGGCATTTAAGTAGCTGAGTGCAACATTTTGTGGAGTAGCTTGGCAGTAGCTGAGGCTGTTTGTGGAGCAGCCCCAGCAGTGGCCTGCAGCCTTCAGCAGTAGCTGAGGCTGTAGTTTTGTGATGCCTTCAAGCAGTAGCCGAGGTCAGCTTCAGTGGCTTCAAGCAGCTGAGGCTGTAGTTTCAGGAGAAGCTTTCAAGCAGCCAGCCTGAGGAGCAGCTTGGGCAGTAGCTGAGGCTGGGAGGCAGTGAGTAGCTTGGCAGTAGCTGAGGCCTGTAGTTTGAGTAGTTTGGGCAGTAGCTGAGGCTGTAGTTTCAGGAGTAGCTTGGCAGTAGCTGATTGTAGTTTCAGGAGTAGTTTTGGCAAGGCTTAGGCAGTAGTAGGCTGTGTGGCAGTAGCTGAGGCAGTTTAGCTGAGGCCGTAGCTGTAGCCAGGATAGGCTTGGGAGCTGAGGCCAGAAGCTCAGGAGCTTCACAGCAGCTGAGGCTGTAGTTTGAGGCCTGGGCAGCAGCTCAGGCTGTAGCTTGGGGAGCAGCTCAGGCAGCAGCCCAGGCTGTAGCCTGGGCAGCAGCCGAGGCAATAGTTTTGTGGAGTAGCTTGGGCAGCAGCTGAGGCAACAGCCCAGGAGCAGCCACAGCAGCCGAGGCCGTAGCCTGGAGAAGCTTGGGCAGCAGCTGAGGCAATAGTTCAGGAGCAGCCTGGGCAGTGGCTGAGGCTGTAGCCTCAGGAGCAGCTCAGGCAGCAGCTCAGGCTGTAGTTTGGGGAGCAGCTTTAAGCAGCAGCTCAGGTCAGCTTGGGGAGTAGCTTGAAGCAGTAGCTCAGGGCTGTAGCTTCAAGGCAGCCGAGGCGCTACAGCCTGAGCTACTCCCCAAACTACAGCCTGAGCTACTGAAGCCCTGTACTGCCTACTCCCCTGTAGCTACAGCCTGAGCTACTCCCCAAGCTACAGCCTGAGCTACTACCCAAGCTACTGCCTGACTGCCTACTCCAAGCTACAGCCTGAGCTACTCCCCAAGCTACTGCCTGAGCTACTCCCCAAAACTACAGCCTGAGCTACTCCCCCTGAAAACTACAGCCTGAGCTACTCCCCAAACTACAGCCTGAGCTACTCCCCAAGCTACAGCCTGAGCTACTCCCCAAACTACAGCCTGAGCTACTACAGCTACTGAGCTACTCCCCAAACTACAGCCTGAGCTACTCCCCCCAAACTACAGCCTGAGCTACTCCCAAAACTACAGCCTGAGCTACTCCCCAAACTACAGCCTGAGCTACTCCCCAAACTACAGCCTGAGCTACTCCCCCCAAACTACAGCCTGAGCTACTCCCCTACTACCCAAGCTACAAACTACAGCCTGAGCTACTCCCCAAACTACAGCCTGAGCTACTCCCCAAACTACAGCCTGAGCTACTCCCCAAACTACAGCCTGAGCTACTCCCCAAACTACAGCCTGAGCTACTCCCCAAACTACAGCCTGAGCTACTCCCCAAACTACAGCCTGAGCTACTCCCCAAACTACTGCCTGAGCTACTCCCCAAACTACAGCCTGAGCTACTGCCTGAGCTCCCCAAACTACAGCTTGAGCTACTCCCCAAACTACTGCCTGAGCTACTCCCCAAACTACTGCCTGAGCTACTCCCCAAACTACAGCCTGAGCTTACTCCCCACAGCTACAGCCTGAGCTACTACCCCCAAGCTACAGCCTGAGCTACTCCCCAAACTACAGCCTGAGCTACTCCCCAAACTACAGCCTGAGCTACTCCCCAAACTACAGCCTGAGCTACTCCCCAAACTACAGCCTGAGCTACTCCCCAAACTACAGCCTGAGCTACTCCCCAAACTACAGCCTGAGCTACTCCCCAAACTACAGCCTGAGCTACTCCCCAAACTACAGCCTGAGCTAGCTACTCCCCAAACTACAGCCTGAGCTACTGCCAAGCTAAGCTACAAACTACAGCCTGAGCTACTCCCCAAACTACAGCCTGAGCTACTCCCCAAACTACAGCCTGAGCTACTCCCCAAACTACAGCCTGAGCTACTCCCCAAACTACAGCCTGAGCTACTCCCCAAACTACAGCCTGAGCTACTCCCCAAACTACAGCCTGAGCTACTCCCCAAACTACTGCCTGAGCTACTCCCCAAACTACTGCCTGAGCTACTCCCCAAACTACTGCCTGAGCTACTCCCCAAACTACAGCCTGAGCTACTCCCCAAACTACAGCCTGAGCTACTCCCCAAACTACTGCCTGAGCTACTCCCCAAGCTACAGCTGCCTGAGCTCCCCAAGCTACAGCCTGAGCTACTCCCCAAGCTACAGCCTGAGCTACTCCCCAAGCTACAGCCTGAGCTACTCCCCAAGCTACTGCCTGAGCTACTCCCCAAGCTACTGCCTGAGTTCCCCAAGCTACAGCCTGAGCTACTCCCCAAGCTACAGCCAAAGTTACTCTCTAAACTACTGACCTGGGAGAAAGTCCACTGTGGGGAACACTTTTTCGTGCTCCTTGCCCAACTTCTCATTGAGCTCTTTCACAGTCAATGGCAGATTCAGCTCATCTACAACACAGCAACAGTAAAGGTACATCACCAGGCACTGTAGCTCACCCGATGAGTAAGGTTTCTGTTAGACATACACATCATTGATCTCTAAAAGAAGTATGTAGAGGCTGAAGGTCAAGACAAGATCAAACTACAAAAGAAACTACTTGCACTAATAACTAAATGAATTCACCCTATGTTATTGTTCATATCATGTATATAGCAAATTACACATTTATAAAACAAATAGCCAAGGAAAGGACGAAAATGACAACTGATATATATATATATATATCATGGTGTACTGCTTTAGTAACAGGGGCGGTGGGGTAGCCTAGTGCTTAAAGCGTTCACTCATCACGCTGAAGGCCCAGGTTCGATTCCCCACAATGTGTGAAGCCCATTTCTGGTGTCCCCTGCCATGACATTGCTGGAATATTGCTAAAAACGGTGTAAAACCATACTCAGTCAGTCAGTCTTTAGTAATAGGTTGATGACAATTGAAAGCAAAACCATTGCTGAGATCATCCGTGTTTCAGCTTCACGACATTATGGTTTCAGAGGACAAACATTTTAAACACTACTTTTCACTGATGGGTTGAAGGATGAACATACAGGGTGGGAACACTTCTGACAACATTGTAGCAGTTGACAATTGGGCTTCACAGTGAACACTGTGTGCATGGGGATTCAAACCCAGGCTTTCAGCACGACAACTGAATCACGTAAACACTGAGCATCCAACACCCCTTGGTTTCAGAGGAAGGTCAACCACTGTCAGATGTGCAGGCAAACAGATGCCAAGGTTGCCCTCTCACGCTACAATTAGCCATGTTCTTTCACAAACTCACCAATCATTATCAGAGCACTTTCATCCTGCTTCCGACCCATCTGCTTTGCTTTTATCTCCCATGTGAATGTTTTGCCGTACACGTCCAGGACGTTTTGTGTGGCCACGGAGTACAGACGCTCAGTGTCTGGAACAGAAGTTGAAATGTTATGAGGTTGACGATGGATGTCGACGGCCTGTAAATAGTCATGGCAAGACACAGCCCTGAAACATTGTTACAAAAACACGGACGTTAATATTAATAAAGGTATTATGTCTTCAACCAGCACTTGATATTACGTACAATTATATCGAGTTGTTTGGGATACACTGACATTCAAACAACCAAGTAATTGGGGCTGACTGTAGTAATACTAGTAGAAGTAGTACATATACATATACGTTGCAGGTATGTTTTTCTATGTTTACGTACGTACGTACGTACATTTACCAACAAATCACGCGTCCTGCCTCAGGATTGACTGAGTTTAGTTTTACCCTGCACTCAGGAATATTACAGATACATATGGTCTGTAAATAAGCCAGTCTGGGGCAGACAATCCAGTGATCAACATCATGGGCATCAATCTTCGCAATTGGGATACGATGACATGTGTCAACCAAGTCAGTGAGTCTGACCACCCGATCCCGTTAGTCGCCTCTTACGACAAGTATGGGTTGTTCAAAACTAACTCTAACCCGGATCTTGACGGGTCCGCTGACTGATGAAATGCCCCCGTATCTTGCACCACACAAACTGGACAGGAACTTTCATACCAGTGTGTCAGCATGTTACAATCTGAAATATCAGCCATACACAATAGGCAAATACCACTGCAGAATCTACCATCAGCGTAGGCTGTCAATTAACCACGAAAATATGCAACTGTACCACCTTAAGTCAATACTATGCTGGGATGTCACAGACCTTTCATTCCGTTGTACATACCTGATAGTGGCTCTCGGCTAACCTCACTATTATCTGTAAATCACAAAGATTAAATGCACGACAATGTACAGAACGTTACCTAATAACAATCCATCCATGTCGAATATAACATGAGTGACCGGCTTGAATGATGCTGCCATGATAACAATTTGAGATCTCGTACGCCTATCTGTGCCACATGCGGCTTACCGGCAAATTAGGTTTTTGGAGTTATCTGTCCTTGACACTGTATAGAAACTCCGCGAATGGGCTACAATGCTGTGAGGAGCTTGAATTATTTCCAGAAGCGCACGTACAATATTTCGTGCGACATCTTTTCATGTCACCAAGCGAATTTAAATATTCTGAGCTTCATTTAAGCATGATATGATTGATCTATTTTGTTGGTGGCCCTGAAATAACAACGATATTAAAGCACATATACTGTACCTTTAAAATGATTCTACATCACGACCTTTCAAAATCCGTCACCTTTTTGTTGCTGAAGTAGTTGGATTTGCGGTTGTTTATCTTTTTCATTTTCTTTAATTCTGTATCGTTGGTGTTTTAACTAAATTTTAGACTACGTTTCTTCTTTACTATTCAATTAAATGTCTACGAATGAAAAAGGGTCATAATATATCACTGTGCGTGTTTCTTTTACAGATGGGAGTTTGTTCCACAGTATTTTAGTAGTAACATTCACTCATTCATTCATTCATTCATTCACTGGACCCGTGAAGATCCGGGTTAGAATAGGTCTTCAGCAACCCATGCTTGCCACAAAAGGCGACTATGCTTGTCGTAAGAGGCGACTAACGGGATCGGGTGGTCGCTTGGTTGACACATGTCATCGATTCCCTTTTGCGCAGATCGATGCTCATGCTGTTGATCACTGGATTATCTGGTCCAGGCTCGATTATTTACAGATCGCCTCCATATAGCTGGAATATTGCTGAGTGCGGCGTAAAACTCAACTACCTCACTCACTCACTCATTCACTGAGTTTAGTCATGACATGTAAGGGGATAGACTGATACTGCTGTATAAAGGTGCGGGACTCACCTACATAGTCGACATAAAATTAACATGGTTAATGATTTCGTATATAATTTCCACGTGGATTAAGGTTAGGGACTATTGAATAAGAACTTCTGACATATGTAAAATGTCCCTAATCTGTATTGTAAGTTAGTTCACCATATACTCAGACCACGCCCCCATCATGTTGAGATGTCAACAATACACCAGAAATCTTCAATAACATCAAACACCAAGGGTAAGTTCAAGGGCAAGGTCGTGTAAATCATCGTTGGAATGCTGACTTTCTTGTAAATATTAAACCAGTGTAAAACCACTTCTTGTAGTTAAAAAAGGGGGCGGTGGGGTAGCCTAATGGTTAAAGCGTTAGCTCGTCACGCCGAAGACCCGGGTTCGAATCCCAACATGGGTACAATGTGTGAAGCCCATTTCTGGTGTGCCCCGCCGTGATGTTGCTGGAATATTGCTAAAAACGGCGTAAAACCAAACTCAGTCAGTCAGTCAGTGTAGTTAATACTGAAGGGTTAATAAACCGCTTTAATCCAGAAAAGGTTACATCTCCATTATACACGGACGCTGGTTCTGACAGCTTGAATGCACGATATGTCATCGGGGGGTTTATAGGGCAGCGACAAAAGCATTTCCATATTCTAAAAGCAGAGTCGATTTTACGATTCCGAACACATTATGAATAATGTATGTGTTTATGAATAAGTATCAAACAGAGGTGGTGCCAGGTGTTCGCCCAGGTGAGCGTATCCTGCCGCACCGGTGGCACCAGTCACAAACACATGCAAAGGCAAGTCAACTGTTTCCTATAAACACAGGAACATAGGGTACTAGAAGTAATAAACATTGGGTATTTCATAAGTCAATACATTGGTCACTGATGCGTAACTACTTTCCTCCACATGTCAACCATGGACGTTTTGAAAGTATTACTGATGCCTTGAGTGATGTAACAATGATCTAAAAAGTTCTGAGCACGAGTCGTAAGGCGCTCTTTGAAACCTTCGTGGAAAGAGCATACTCGATTGTACCTCAAAAGCTGTTAAATGAAGACAGCACTAAAAGCCTGCAGCTGCTGGAATATCGCTCAATACAAACGGATACTTGGCTCTTGGAACGTTGAAGTCACCACTCTTTCCATACACCTTTGTGTAGAGATTCTTGTCACTCTGATCTTTATGTACAGATCAATATGACAGAACATGCAACAGACATGGGTGACGTGTCTTACCTGCGCGTCATAAGGTGAACACATGCAATCAACGCCCCCAACGACTCTGTTACTGTTTTGCCTAAGTGTAGCACAGTTTGATAATACAAGTAGTATACACAATGGGGCTACGGGACCAGGAAGTCCCTAATCCCGTAGCCCCATTGTGTATACTACTACTGAAGTGCATGCAAAATTTGATGAAAATCGGTCGAATAGGTTCTGAAATATTGACTTTTAAGGGAGCATGGGGTCGGTCGGGAAAAGGCAAAATGTTCAACTTTTTGTCGTAATTAAGTCTTAATTAATCTAATGAAGTCATCGAGAGTGTTCCCAATGCCGTTTTGCTATAGCGTAACCATCTGCCGAGATGCATGCAAAATTTCACGAAAATCGGTTAAATAGTTTAGGAAATAATCACTTTTAGTTAGCATTGGGTCGGTCTGGCGAAAGGCTAACAATCCAACGTCGTACTTGTTATATATTATCGAGGCGAGAGGTGTTTTCAGCCGAATGAAACGCAGCTCTCGGCAGTTCCACTGATCTGCCTTGCTACCATCTCGTTAGGACGTACTTGTAGCTATGTGTGAGCTGTCTGTAGGTGAATGAAACGCAGGTCTTGGCAGTCATCACCTTGCTACCGTCTCGGGCGTTGCTTTGAGCGAGCGCCGTGGACGAGTATAGGTGTGTGTGTGCGTGTGTGTCTCGGCTCGCCTATGATGATGCACGGCCGGCTGACTAGCGAGGCTACAGATGTCTGAAGTTGAATGAAACGCATCTCTCAGCAGTTCATCCCGGGGGTCGCCTCGCTGCCGTCTCAGTAGCACCGAGCGAGCGCTGTGGGCGAGTCGCAGTGTGTGTGTCTCAGCTCGGCTATTCACCTACAGCTCGCTGAGCTGGCTGGCCAGCTGGCTACATTATGTTGATGTCCACGAAACAGTTTATTGTGAATCTCCTATGATTTGTTTGGTTTTTCGTAATGAAGGCTTGTCGGCCGTTGCTTCCCTTGTTCTATGGAAACAATATTCTCGTCTTTGCAAATGAAGGCATTTTTACGAGACTTGGTCCAAATCTCTTGTTTCATTCTGTGATATTTTGTTATTTCTGATAGCACCAAACGAAACTCTTCTTCGGAGACTTTAGAGTTTGTGAGGGCAGTGGAAATATGATCGTCTATCCTGTTTAACTTTGCTTCGGCTAGAATTTTTCAATGCTTTACGTTAAGGGTCAATCCCATCAACCCTGCCACTCCGTGTCTGAAATCTGAAAGGCAAAAGGCGTGAAAAAACACGTGATGAAAAAACACATCAAGCACGCCAGATTCAAGGAAGCCCTGTTCAAGAAAAAAACGTTCAAACACCAAATGAACATGCTGAGAAGCGACGGACACAGGATATACGGACTGAGAATCAACAAGACCTCGCTGTCTCCCATGGACACGAAACTATGGAGTCACCACTTACACCGTACGGACACACACACGTGCGAGCGTATCGAATAATTGAACGCTTACGCACACATGCGTACATATGTCATGGAGAAAATTTATTACAGCCCGCGTGGGTACATGAAAGGCGCGGTTGCCATCCCAAAACTCGCCAAAGCCGCTCGAGTCTCGGAAGAGAAAGCCAAGCCTGGCTTAAAAAACAAGCCATCTGGCAAGTCCACCTGCCGGCGCCTCGATACCTCCCGAGAAGACAATTCGACATTTCAACGCCGAATCGCATCCACCAAGCCAACCTCCTGTTTCTCCCTCACGACAGGGTGAGGCACAAAACCTACAAGTATGCCCTGACCGTCATGGACGTAGCCAGCCGCTACAATGAAGCTGAACTGTTGATGACCAAAGATTCGAATGAAGTCGCCAAAGCCTCTGAACGCATATACAAACGCTGTCGTTTGACCTGGCCTGCCGTATTGCAAGTCGATCCCGGATGCGAGTTCATGGGAGCCGTGTCAGCTGCTGGCCAAGCACGATGTCCAGGTGAGACGAGGTATAGCGGGAGCTCACCGTAGCCAAGCCATCGTTAAGAGATTTAATCGCACCCTAGCCAAACGTCTGTTCTCGCACCAATACTCGCAGGATTTAATCATGGATGTCATCAACAACGATGTCACCAGACTCGTGGGCAAAAGACCCGTCGAAGCCATCAAAATGAAAACAGTCGAATCGTCACCAGCGGCAGCACGTCGCATAAAACAGAGAAAACATTACCAGACCGTGTCAGCGTTAGGTCCCGTAACCCAATTGTGTATACTACTAATACATCTTTCGCACAGTATTGTAATGTCTGTCACGTAAGGCACAATGTCTCATAAAGATTTCCATGCCGGCTATATCCATAACAGATGCTAGTTTTACTTGGAACTGGTGATCAACAAACACCAAGGGTAACTGTTTTCAGCAGTATAAGATTAGCTAATTCTGAATAGGTAAGAGAGCAGTCAAACAGTTCGACACATATGGTTTTCGTAAGATGACAGCGTTTTCGTTACCGTCTTATCCCAAGGGTATTTGTCTATGAATTCTCCACATGTTCCATAGGTTTTCATCACATCGTTGTTGATGTGGCATGAATGATATCAAACAGTTCTGAAAACCAAATTCTTCGGTGAGTTTCTTAATCCTGTAAGATATTTACCAAGCTTCTATGGGACTATTTTCTTTGATATGAAGTTTCATGTCTACACAAAGGTCCGATCAACAGCAGTTTACATTTATCAGTATAAGTCGTCACTGACCATAGTCCAAGAGTGTATATAGTAGTAGAACTTAAAGATTATGATATCATCTGCATAACAGAAACATGGCTACATCCTGATATCTTAGATAATGATATTATGATAACTGGATTTCATAAACCTTTCAGACAAGATAGACCTACTCGAGGAGGAGGGGTAGCATTTTATGTACGTGAAAATATCTACGTTAAACGTTTAAAGTCTTTAGACATAGCAAATGTTCCCAGT